TCTTCTCACTAGAGTTTTTTTTTATTTTAATGATTGGCAGTGGTACTTTTTTATACTTGACTGTGTTGGGGGGTAGGGTGCTTCTTCAAAATAATGTACTTGATTAATGTAAAAAGACTGTTTGTAAGAAACATTGTTTTGTACAGATCTTGAAGTTTTTTCCCTCTTAATTTGCCCCATCATCTTTACTTTGTCTTAAAGCCAGAGCTGATACAAAGGAGACTCTGGAGGAATAAACTTTCCTCTTGTATTAAGTTTTGGGGCATTTCTTCCATATTTTGTATACATTTGTGACATGTACTGCAGCATACCTCCTCTGATGAAATCCTGCTGGAACAGAAACTCCCGTGTTGTCTAGGCATCATTTTCAGTGATTGTGTATGCTTATGTTCACTGTCTTCAGATCCCAGAAGGGATATATAACATGAAGTACTATGAGTGTTCTTCTTGACCCCAAAGTTGAGATCTAGAATCAGTGGGTTTTAATTGCACAGAAAACAGCTCAATGTGAATCTGCTAAGAGAGCTAGGTGCTCTTAGAATCTTACTAAGTTCTTGAGTGATTGAATAAATCCTAAAGTAGATGGGCAGCTGTGTGGGGGATAATAATAATGAATGATATGTATATGGTGTTTTAAGGTTCCCTAAGAGCTATATATAATCACATTTTTTCCTTCTCACAATCCTATTAGGTAATACAGCTACCCCATTTTATCAGTTTTATATATGAAGAAACTCAAACCTCAGTATATACTTTTCCATTATACCATGTCTCTTTATCACCTGAGGTTTTCATGTATCCAGGTACCAAAAGTTCTGTAGAAGAGCTGCTTGCTCTGTGTGTGAGCTTTCTGTGCGTTATCCCCTGCCATATTGGGACAAAGTCACAAAGTTGGCACTGAGAGGCGGGCTGATTACTGGGCATTTACTGATCCAGATGGCCCCCCACATCCCCTCCAAGGTTGTTTTTCCACCTCCACACACTGCCTCCAGCCTTAGCTTCACAGGGTGTGCTTGCAGTGATAAGCCATTCCATATCAGTACTGCTCGGTCATCACAAAATCCTGAAGTGCTGAGGATTTCAATAAACCTATTCTTTTCCCATCCTCTGGCTAGCAGATTCCCAGCTCTTGTCCCCCATTTCTTTGTGACTGACTCATCTTCTGAAGTGAAAATCCTTTCTTTCTGCTACTTTTCCTTACACTCTTGTCTCTATCCCTCCACTATTTCCAAATCCTTTGGCAACTCCTGGTCTGTCTTAGATTTCATCCCAGCTCTCCAGAAACTATCACACACAGTTGGCCAGCCTCCCCTATGAGAATGACTCCACTCGTGTTCCATGGGTTCAGGAGTCATCTTCATCAAGCTCTGACACTTTTAAATCTGCAATCATTATAACCTCTAAGTCTGAGGTTCATTCTGTCTATACTACTGTTCAAACCCTTATTGCTATAATATGCCAGCTTTCTAAGGTTACTTCCTCCATCCTTTCTCAAAAAGAGTTCAGTACTAGCTTTCACAGTCTAACTCCTGCCCTCGTTCATAAGAACTTCAGTTTATGACTTTTGTTTTTTGTTCCTCTGAACATCCTGGTCTTTTAGTTTTTCAACCCGAAGTCCCTACATCTTTTCTCCACCTCAGCCACCCTCAATCATACCCTAGATGTCACCATCATCCCGGTTACCTACACAAACAAAATCTGAAATAAACCCTTTCTGATCATTTCCTAGCCTTGTCCCCACTGTGATCTCAAATTTCTCCAGTTCTGTTCCTTGCTCCGGCCTCACTGTTCTGGCCCTTTGCAATCTTAACCCTATAGTTACCCCTTGAAATTATAACTCCTATCTCGTCCTCACCCCTAAATGTTCAAGTTTCCATGTTTGTGAACTCCAAAATTCCTTTATCTTATAATCATCATTCCCATCTTTCTGTATGCCTTATGACCCTTGATCCTCTGTCCTTATAGTGATCTTTCCTGCTACTCTTCTTTCCCAGATCATTACCCTTGCAATGGCTATACTTTCCTCCCTTCTCAACATCAACTCCTTCCTGCAAACCAGTTCAACTCTACACTGTCTTTTTACTCTTGAATTCTTTGCTCCCTTATCCTGTTACTTATTAGGTCTTGCCAAATGCCAACCCTGGATTATTCCTACCATTTGCCTCCTCTCCTATCCGCATGCTTCTGAATAGACTTGGGACAAATTCATCAAACTGCAGACTATATCTACACAAATCTCAACTAGGCCCTCACTACATCAAGGCAATCCTACTCCAAATCTTTCATAACACTTGCCTCAACACATCCTCTCCCTTCCCTTTTTGCTGAGAACTTTGAATGACTCCCTCTTTTCCCCTCATCTCATGTCACTCATACATCTCCCACTATCCTTTATTTTGGTCTTGGATGAAAAGGTGGCCTTTTCTCCTCTACATGGATCCTTGATCCCATCCCTTCCTGTCTTTTCAGAAGGCCTCATTATCATCTACACTCTACATTCTCTGTCTACTGGGGTTCCTTCCCTGCCACCTAAAAACATATCTATGTTTCCTTAATCCTTAAAAAAAACCCTCATTTGATTCTACCATCTCCGCTAGTTATCATCCTGTATCTCTCCTCCCTTTCTTAGCTAAACATGGTGAGAAAGCACTCTATCTGCAGTCTTCACTTTTTCTTGTCTAGATTCTAAATCCTCTGCAATTTGGCTTCTGACCTCATCATTAACTGAATGTTTAAAATGCTAATTACCTTCCCTTGGGTACTCTCTAATCTGGGTTTTTGTTAGACTACTATCTTCTGGTTCTCCTACCTCTCTATTCCTCATTCCTCTTTGATGGATCTTCATACCTGGAATGCCCACTGAGTGTTAAATAATATAAAGGGGACAAGAGGAAGAAGCATATGACGCTAGAACCTCACTTTTATCTGAGCTGGTTAAAAAAAGCAGCAGTAACAATCATGCTTTCAGACAAAGCAAAAGCAAAAAACAGACCTAAGAGAGAAGTTCTTCTAAATGGTACCATAAACAATGAATTAATATCAATACTAAACAGATATGCACCAAATGGAGTGACAGCCATATTCTTAAAGGAAAAATTAAACAAATGAGTTACAGGAAGAAATAGAGAGTAAAAGTATAACAGTGGGGGACCTCAACTTATTGTTTCAGTCATTTTCGACTGTTTATGACCTCATTTGGGGTTTTCTTGACAAAGATAGTGGAATGGTTTGCCATTCCTTCTCCATCTTATTTCATAGATGAGGAAACTGAGGCAAACAGGATTAAGGGACTTGCTGAGGGTCATACAACTAGTAAGTGTCTGAGGCCAGATTTGAATTCAGGTATTCCTGACTCTAGGCTCAAGCCACTGTGCCACCTAGCTGCCCTTCTTCCCTCTTAAACCTAGACAAATTGAACCAAAAAAAACCCAAACCCAAAAACACCAAAGTTAAGGATCTGAAGAGAATTTTAGAAAAGTTAGCTTATGCTAAGACTTCTGGAGAACACTGAATGGGAACAAAAAGGAATATACACCTATTTCTCAGCTGTACATAGGACATGCACAAAAACTGATCACAAAACCTCACAAACAAATGCAGAAAAGCAGAAATGCATCTTTTCCTAACCATAATCCAATAAAAATTACATTCAATATAGGAACTTTGAAGCAAAGATTAAAAATTAATTGGAACCTAAATGACTTAAACCTAAAGACTGGGTGGGTCCAAAAACAAATTAATGATAATGTCACTTAAGAAAATCACAACAATGAGACACCACACCAAAATCTGTGCAATGCCAATGCAGCCAAAAGAGTAATTGAGGGAAAATGTGTATCTCTAAATTCTTCCATTAATTTAAAAAAAAAAAAAGGCAGATCAATAAATTGGGCACAAAACTAATAAAAACTACAAAACCAACAAATTAAAAATCCCAAACAAATTAAATTCCAATCCCAACAAATCAAAAACAATAAAACAGAAATCCTGAAAATGGAGATGAACAAAATTGGAAGTTAAAAAAAATCACTTAAAAAATAAAACTAGAAACTTTTTCTTGGGGAAGAAGGAAATAAAACAGATAAGCCATTAGCTAATTTGAGTAAGAAAAAGAAAGAAAACCAAATACCAGTATAAAAAACTAAAAAGATGAATTCACAACCAATTAATAAAAGCAATTATTAAGGAGCTATTTCTCCCAACTATATGAACCAGTAAAACTGACTGATGAAACACGAATATTTACATATAAATTACCCAAACAAACAGAACAGGAAATAGAATACTTAAATAACCCTACCTTAGAAAAAGAAATTGAACAAATCATAAAGGAACTCTCAAAGAAAATAGCCTAAGAATCAGATTTAAAAGTGAATTCTATTAAATATTTAAAGAACACTACTATATAAACTATTTTGAAAAAAAAATAGGGAAGAGAGAACCTACAAAATTCCTGCTAGGACACAAATATAGCCTTGATATCTAAACCAAAGGAGAGTAAAAACACAAAACTATGGACCAGTTTCCCTAATGAATATTGACGCAAATATTTTAAATATTAGCAAAGAGGCTGCAGCAATATATCACAGCAAAGGTCATGCACTACCATCAGGCTGGATTCATACCAGAAATGTAAGCCTGGTTCAAATCAGGAAAACTATGAGCGTAACGGACCAGATTAATAACAGATCCAGCAAAAATAGTATTTTAATAGTTGAAGAAAAAGCTTTTTGACAAAGTATGACATTCCTGTCAAAAACACCAGAAAGCACAGGAGTAAATGGAGCTTTTCTTAAAATAAGTAAGGTCTACCTAAAAGTAAGAGCAGCTATTATCCGTACTGGGGACAAGCCAGAAGTCTTTCCAGTAAGATCAGGAATAAAGTAAGGATGTCCATTATCACCACAATTATCCAATACTGTACTAGAAATGGTAGCTACAGCAATAAGACAAGACAAACAAACTGAAGGAATAGGCTTAGGCAAAGAGGAAACAACATCACTTTTTGAAGATGATATGGTTTATTTAGAGTTTCTAGAGTCAACTAAAAACCGAATCAAAACAACTGACTTCGACAAAGTTGCAGGATATAAAATAAACCGACATAAATCATCCACATTTCTTTATATTACCAACATAATCCAGCAGGAACTATGGAATGCAGCTCCCTCTTTTTACTGAGGTACAGAGAGATTATGTGACTTGCCTAGAGTCACATAGCTATGTAAGTATCTGCTTTGACTATAGCATTTCATGCCTTGCTAGCTCAGATCTTGTTTTCTGCTATACTTCCTAGTTTATGAAACTTCACATATAGAGTATAATTTAGAAAAAAGTGACAAACCAAAACTTTTCACTTCAGTCTTTATATAAAAATAAAAATTTATTATGCACACATTTTGGTTCTTAAAAGATATTATAAACATTACAGCTGATCTTCATTCTTTTCAAATTCCATATTCGCAAATTTACCTACTCACTAAAATTAACTTTTAACCCTAAAATCAATACTCATGGTGTTTTCAGTCACGCCCAGAGTAGCAAAACATCTGAGTTGCCTGCTGCACACGTTCCGCTGAAGTTAAACAAGATGACTCTTGGCCTTCTTATTTCAGCTCTCACACTACTGTAATCAAGGCTCTTTTCTCGATCTATTCAGTGCCCATGTTCCACCTTTTTGTGCTTTTTATTTTTATTTGCTGTTTTAAATGGCCCTGAAACGTCGTGCTGAAGAGCTGCCTTGTGTCCTTAAATGCAAGAAGGCTGTGAGGCACCTTTTGGAGAGAATACATGCGTTAAGTGAGCTTTGTTCAGGCACCAGTGAGACAGTACTGCTGGCCCTGAGTTTAATGTCAATGAATCAACAACACGATACCTCCAAAAGAAGAAGAAATTCACCCATCTGTATGAGGTCACTCCAGAAAGTGCTAATGTGAATGTGACCAGAAGCTCACAGGAACTTACCCTTGTATTTTCCCTACAAGCAATGGCTAACTTAGTATTTGTGGGGGCTTTAGAGAACATAATTACCTTGATTGATGAGAATTAACTGTACTTCCTTAAAACTTTTTCAGAAAGCTTCAACCTACTCCCACAATGATTTTTCTGAAAGCATAATTGTCATGATGTGCCTTAACCACAAAGGAAGCCATAATGGAAAATAGTGGCTAAGAATACACAAGCCTCAATTCTCCCTGCCAACCAACTATATGGTGAAATGAGATATTCAACTTGTTTTTAAAAAATCAATCTTGTACAGGGTGCATACATTCAGCAACAACAATTTGTCTCATATATATCCCCAGTGAAAAGAGTCTCTAAAAAAAGGATGCACATTTTAAAAAATGGCTTAGAAATATGATACAATAGCTAAAATCCTAGGACCAAGGGTCTTGGCTTATGAAACAACACAGACTGGTTGGGGGCTTAAGGGAACCAATACTGATGAACTGCTCCTGTCAACTCTTTTCCATATCCACAAGTTTATACCAAAGTACATCTTGACATTTTTTCATTATGTCTTCCTGAAAAGGTGTGAACATATTTAAATCAATATTTATGTAGTAAATGTCATTAAGTAGGCCAGGGTTGGGGAACCTGCAGCCTTGAGGCCACATATAACCCTCTAGGTCCTTAAGTGCGGCCCTTTGACTGAATCCAAACTTCACAGACCAAATCCTTTTAATAAAAGGATTTGTTCTATAAAACTCTGACTCAATCCAAAGGCCAAAGCCAAGCAGGGACCTAGAAGGCTACATGTGGCCTTAAGGCTTCCCACACCTAAACTAGGCATCATACAAAAATAAAGAATGTGTTCCTATGTTTGTAACCAAGACACAACAGAATCAAACTTAGGAATGAAAATTTTCTTTGAGCAATTATTTAAAGGAAAACATGAATAAAGTAAAATATTAACAATATCTATGTGGGGAAATAATGAAGTATTTGCAAACCCAAAGCATCATATGAATATGCTTTAAAAAGAAGAAAACTAAGGGGCAGAGACAGGTGCTACGCCTGTGATTTTTTTCTTTGGTACAGCGAATTCTGAAAGTAAACTCCCCTCTATGAACGAAGATCCAAGCCTTCTCTACAAATAATAGTTTTAGAGAGATACCTAGAGCACTGAGAAGTTAAGTGACTTGCCAGAGGTCACACATCAGTATGTGTTAAGAAGCAGGACTTGAACTCAGGTCTGCCTGGCTCTAAGACCAACTCTCTATCCACTATTCCATGCTGCCTCTCAGAGACAACTAAATACACATCAAATTTTCTTAGTTAAGAGAATATTTAAATTTGGAAACTACTTAAATAAATGTACTTAAGATAAAGGGTACCAGGTATTTACAAAAAAAAACCTTAACCAACACACAAAAATTATAAATGATCTTCTGGGAAGAGCAAAAGACTATATGTATTTGTATACTCCTAATTAAGCCTTAGTGTTCTATGCTGTATGTACTGGTCAATGAAATAAAACCTCAGTAATTTAGACTCCAGTAATTAGTAATGTGAGACTGTGACCATGTTGTAGAAAACAGAGTTGGTCAAGCTCCAATTATTCTTAGGCCAGAGTCTCCTGACTCTGCAGTAACTACAAAGACAGACAAGTCTGGTTATTTGGTTTTCCCCTGGCAATTTTATTATGCCCTCACAGCATATCAGAAGACCTGACTGTAAAGGAAGAAATAAAGAGAACAACTAGAATACAACATAAACTTGTTGGTCTGGGAGCAGTCAGCATCTGAGCAAACAGCTCTAGAACCCCAGCTGGCCTGAAGGTTTCACTCACTGTACAACTGCTAGTGCTCACCCTAGAGGTTTAATGGTGGAAAGTTTACATATGAGTCCTGCTTGCCCACTTATCTGAGGAAGTGTGGGAATACCTTGTGGAAAGCACGGCTTCTAAGAGCTAAGATGAAAATAAGGTTAGGTGCATTCAAGAGTAAACTTCAGTCTGAAAAACTAAGCCCACTCCCTGATGACAGACTAGAAGTGATGTTTGTCTCACTTAAGAAATTAAACCCTTATTTCAAAAGCACTTGGCCATTTTAACAGCACCACCTGCATGCAATGTATTGTCAGTTGTTCTCAGCTGTTCATTAAAGCCAATGCAGAGGGAGGGCATCTATTTGGCAATATATTATCCATTAGTTTTTGTTCACTGTATATACCTGAAAACTAATAAAACAATTTCTTTAAAAATATTCTCTAATTGTGACTTTTTACCAGCTAATCAGAACCCGTGATGTTTAACAATCATTAGTTTTGATAAGTTAATGGACATTAACATCCATTTTAGAATGTGAGGTGAGACCCTCCTCCAAAATTAATAATAATTAACTATGAAAATGCCAGAATACTAAAGGGAGGAAAATGAAATTCAATGTAGTCATTACATCCACCTAGAACCTACTTTTACAAACGTACTTGCTGTTGGAGCTAGTAATTTCATTTCAGTCAGTCCTGTTGGCACTTCTGCAAAAACATACCCAAACAGCAATACAGCAATTCAGAACTCTTGATAAGAAAAACACTGAAAACACCCTAGTGGCAGACCTCACAATCTTCCCATTTGTCCATGGCCGCCGCTGCTGCCGCCGCCTCCTCCTAGCTAGGTTGGCTGTCTTCTTGATTCTTTCCCCATCTTCCAGCTGAGACAGTGGATGAGTTGCAGGTCCCAGCTTGCAGAAAGCTGCTTCTGGCTTCTTTTCTCTGAGTGCTCTCACCTGCTGGAGGCTCACCTTCCCGACCCCCTGTGGTTTGCTGTTCAGAGGACGGCTCTGCTGAAGGGCTTGTTTGACTGTTAACTTCTTTCACCTTGCTGTTTTCTGGAATTTCACAAATGTCTTCTGGATTTTTATCCGAAATGAGTGACTTCTGCTGTGAAATGTAGAATTCACATTTAAATGTTTTTAAATTAATTTAGCCTGGAGGATTAATAGTTACAGAACTAGAGTCACAGAATTGAACAAATTCACATTCCAAATACATACACTTTTGTGTCAAAAATAAGATTCTGATAAATATTGTTAAGTTTAGCCTAGCCAGAACATTCTCAGTCAGGTACCCAAGTTAAGTGACTTGGATTAAAACTTAACAGCTTCCAGAATTCTCCCAAATAAAGTCAATTAACTATTTTATTCACATATTATGCACAAGGAAGATATCAACATTAGTGACCAAGCCCTAAGTTACTAGCATATGAAGATTATAAAATGTCATGGTTAAAAAAAGAGAGATTATTTAGTTCAAACGCTACCTTTTAGCAGCAAATAAGTAGCATTTCTACTTTAAAGATCTCAAGTAAAATGATTCTACAAACAACACCTCACGCTTGCCCTTAAGTTCCAAAGGCCTCTCAGGTTTTACAAAGGTGGAGAAAGAGCTATCCCCAAAAGAGTAAATGTCCCCACCAAACTGCCACTTAGGGATCCATAAAAAATTTTTTAATCCAACTTTTCCCCACAGTTAATGGGTAATATTCCAGTCAGACTAATATAAAATCAGGAAGTTTCTTTGCCTCCTTCCCATGCCCTTTTCTCCAAATAATCTCCTGAGGGTGCCATATATATAGTTCCCTGGGACTTCTGGAGCTATACCAGTGACTTTCAACTGTCTGCTTTCCAACAGAGCATCTTTAGTTACATTTTTTATTTTAGGGTTTCAATGAAATTTCACATTAATTGTTGTCTCTAACACCTACCTTGTGACAATATTCAGTTCCTTATAGAAAGTAAAATATTTAATATCAACTATCAACCTCTGCTCTCTTTCTGGAAGACTGGGATGACTTTTTAAATTTAAGAGAAGAAAGTCACTAAGTTTAAAACTTTACTGCTGACTATAAAGATATACGAATGTTTTACGCCATAAAATACTTCAGTACAAAAGCTCTATTAGAAGGTTCAGACCTATTATGAAGAAACACCAAAATAAAATGTTGCTGACTTACACAGGGTACCATCTTGGGATGCTCTTCTGCCTTTACAACGGGTATATCAAATGCCTGCAGTACTTCAGGGCTCCTGTTGCCAGTTAAATCAACATATCTTTCTCTCAAAAAATTTCCTCTACGCTCATCTGCTTTGCAATAAGGGCCTTGATCTTTCTGACAAACATGGCTCCGACAACAGAGATCTGCATCACCCGCTCCACCATGTCGCCTATAATCAATTTCCTCCTGTGGTCTTCCTTTGCCTTGATGTAGTGCCTGGCGAGGTTCTCTTTCTGAGTCTCTTAAATACCTCAATCCACCAACTGATCTTCCTGCACCATAACAGAAACCCTAACAAGCAAAATAAATAATATAACTATGAAATTATTTATTTGCATATCTATATCATATATATATACATATATATACATATATATGTACACACACACACACATACACATAATCTAAAGTTTAAATGTAGCATATAACAAACTAGATTAAGTTAAGGTATTATTTGGGATGCCAGTAAAATTCACATCTACTTTTAGTAATTTGATATGAAAAGATATAAATATCTTAAAAATGGTAGTTTACTTATGACAATCACATTCTTTGGGGATAGGGGAGACTAGAACCAGGGTACTGATTTATGAAATCCCTCAATAGTTAACAGAATGTCTTCAATGAACTAGAAAAAAATAATTATTATTATGTTGATAGCCAGTATTTATATAGCACTTCCTATATGTCAGGTGCTGCTAAACACTTTACAATTATCATTTTATTTGATCCTCACAACAACCTTGTGAGGTAGAGGCTACTATTATCTCCACTTTACAGAAGAGGAAACTGAGGCAAACAGAGGTCAAGTAACTTACCTGGGGTCACAGAGCTAAGAAAAGTCTGAAGTTAGATTTGAACTCAGATCTTCCTGACTCCAGGCTCAGCACTGTGGCACCTAGTTTCCAGCGGTTAAATTGATGACTAGAAATTTAAACTTTGTCAAAGCTTTATGAATTATTATATTTCTGTGTACTGGCCATAGCCCAGCACCCCACATTCTGGGGCCTTTTCAAGAACTTACAAATGTCTCTTTTTAGCTCATGTACTCACCTATGAAATCATCTGAGAATACCAGAATATAAAGATATATAGATAGAGATATATATCCTGACTAGATCTCTCCAGGCATGTGTGAAAGGAACCCTGATACTCCTATGCAAGTATACTGTATGTAGGATGTCCTGAAAGTCTTAGTGCAGTTTCAATGCAGCATTAACCTTTCATATCTTAAACCTTCTTTCTAACTCTAAAATGCTAAGATTCTGATGAGATACAAATAAGTATAATAAGCAAAGTCCAGTTTCAGAAAGCTGTGCATGGCTGGACGAAGACCAGTGTATAAAACAAGGTCTTGTCCTTACCCCTCCCACCAAGAGGAAAGATTCTAATTTCTACCTGCATGTCCCACAGGCATCTCAAATTCAACATAATCCAAACAGCACCCCTCCCACCCCCTGGCAAGTGCCTTCCTACCCCCAAATTACCTTCTATTTTGCACACCAACACACTGGTTACCTCCTTAGCTAGACTGTAAACTCCTAAAAGCAAAACTGTATGTGTCACTTTGTCTTCACATCTCTAGCACCCAGCACAGGGAATGACACACAGGAACATAAGAAATGCTTGTTAATTGGTTGAATGATTTCATCTGTACCAATTTACCAAGTTCAAATGGTAAGTTTGCAAGTAAAAGTTGTCAGAACTCACTTCTAAAACTTCAAAAAGCAAACTATAAAATTACTTGCTTTTAAGACAAAAAGTATAAGTGTAAATGCAAATGAGTCTAACCTACTTTTACTTATCAGACTATTTACTTATTCTAGACATTACTTATCAACTTACACTATTCTGCAAACAACACTAGCACAAATTTTTAGCACTGCTTTTACTCTAAAAGCCTGAGGGGCAACAATGTCGTATACTAACCAGCACAGCCAGAGCCATGATGGCCAACACTGGAATGTGAAGTATCACTGGTATCTCCTTCATAAGCGCTCTCAAAAATTCACCAGTTCCTTGTCCAATATGCTTCAATGGTTCTGTTACAAAGTTGGTAAAAGTAACTGCCAATGCCTATGAAAACAGATGTTCATTAGCAACACTAATTATGTTCTTTACCAATGACAAATGACAAATGTAAACAGAGTAAGCCAGAGTCACTGTGTACCTGCACTAAAATCAGATGACCTTTGTTAGCATGGCCACATGCAAACCAGCATCAATATGAAAATAATTTCGTTGCTTGAAATTAGAGTGACCTTTAGGCAAGTCAAAGCTTCCTCGTGGAAAGACTTTAAAACACTTGATAAGTCTGTGATGACTACATAGGGACTCTTGACCCACCCTGAAAAAGTAATTTTTATAAAGTGTATTCTATACCTTTGTTGGTGGAACCAACCAAATAGGGTTAACTAATAGTAGCTCATAGTACTTTTGGCAAGGATCATCTCGAAACGTCCACGAACTTCTAAACCATTCTATTCAGGGAAAAGAAAAGAGGAAAAAGAAACTAAATTTTAATAAAGTAACAAGTTTCACTATTTTCAACTGTTCCATTTTGGTTTTATTCTCCCCTCTTCATTTTCAGTTCTATATAACTTTTCAACAAGTTTCCCAATATTCCTAATTTTCTTCTTAGTTTCTACTTGTTTGCTAGTGGGTTCCAAGATTTGGTACTTCTGAACCGAAAATGATTCAAAAGTCTCAACGTCAAATTCCCAGTGCTAGGGTAAAATAAGGGCAATGCAAGCATACAATCAATCAATAAGGTATGAAGAAAGAAGAACCCCCTTATGAGAAAAGGGATGTGGTTCAAGAAGTAGCAGTGACAATGGCTGTGCTGGATCGTCAAAATTCATCCAAAGGGCTACATGGGAAGGTGAGACAGAGTTCATAGGAATAGCCTAAAGACAAAAAATTCTGCACAGGAAGCACACACTGTATGGTTGGTGTGAGGGGAAAAATGGATGGTTTCACACAACCTCTCTGCCCAAGTTTCTTCTTTCATGGCAATGGAGCCATGAATAAATAAGCCCTGAAAACAAGACATTTTTCATCAAATTGGATGTATATAATTCTAAATGAGAAATGCAGGACATTAACACACACTAATTTTTCTAAATAGCTCATTTTGGATAAGAATATTTAGTCGTTTCAGCCATGTACGACTCTGTGACCCTATTTGGTTTGTTTTGTTTTTGCAAAGATACTGAAGTGGTTTGCCATTTCCTTCTCCATCTTTTTACGGATGAGGAAACTGAGGCAAACAGGGTTAAGTGACTTGCCCAGGGTCACACAACTGGATCTGAACTCAGGAAGATGAGTCTTCCCTACTCAGGTCCAGCACTCTATCCACTACACCACCTAGCTGCCCCTTAGATAAGAATAGCCCTCTTAAAAGAAAGCAATTTTGTATTCATTCTGTATAGAAGTAGAGTTGTATTAAATTTAATTTCCCATGACTATTTTCTAGTACCGTGGCTTTGGATACCTTGATTTGAAATATCTGCTGAATTTTTAATTTGCCTTTAACAAAGTCCCAAAAGTTAAACCATTCCTGTTTTCAATCAATCTTCCAACACAAATAGTATATTTATAAGAATGTTTTTCCATGGTTTGACTCTAATAAATAGCTTCAGGCCAAGATTTTATATGTTGTAACACTTTGATACTGCATCTGTATGAGCATTCTTTCCCCACTGATATTGATCACAGACTCTTTCTTTCCTTTCTCCTGACATTACAAAGGTCAGTCCTCAACCCAACTTGAGGACATAGTCAACATGGTGAAGTCCTTTCTCTATGTTTTTTTTATTATCTCAGGAGTACCAGTGTAGCTAGCACTCAGGATTTCTACAACTGGCCCACCTCCTTTTCCTATCATTACATCCATGATTAACTCTTCTACGCCATTTTGTGCATGACAGTCATTGTAACATGTTGCACCCTATTTACACTCATTCCCTCACCATCTGGCTTACTTGTAACTCTAATTCTTTGGAGATCATGCTGTTCCATGATTTTCAGCCAAACTGACCCACCAGGAGAATTCTGATTATTAAAGACATTGGCTTGTGTTGGCATAATCAGCCGTCACTGAAAGTATTTCAAGTGAGTTCAATCTCCTCTTCTTGCTTAGTTTTGGACCCAGATATACATATTAGTGGACTAACTCAATGGGTCACTCATCTAGCTGTATGTCACAGTTTAAGTAATATATATTTTTCATTAACTTGATTTTTTCAACCTAGATAATTAGAACGATCTCTTTTGCATTTCTGTGGATTTCACCACGAGGCTTTAATGTATCTCAATGTGCCGAAATCAATACAATATACTAATGATGATGACAATGATGATAGCTTCTATATAGCACCTACTATGTACCAGCTGCTTATTTCACTTGCCAACGCGGCATAGCGTCAGGCATGGTGGAAACAGCATTTGACTGGGTTCTCCCACTTACCAGCTGGAGACCTTCCTTGCTTTCTCCAGACATCACAAAGATATCAGGGGAGCACTCTAGCTATCCATCTATTATCCCTCATCCCTTTCCTGTTCAATTCCAGGCCCAACTCATTATCTACCTGTACTCTATGTTCCCAAAACACACGCCCATGAACAATCTCTATAGTTCTCCATCTAAATATATGTCATGATCTGGACAGACGTTCTTCATCTACTTGGTCTTTCCTACAGGGACGGTTAAGTGAAACTCTTTTGAGTAGTTATATATCTCCTAGAGAAGGTTCTGCAATGTTCCATGGCTTAGAACCAACATAATCTCATTTAAAACAGAATCATGGAGGGCCTCACTCTCCACAGAGAAACAATCTTCAACTTGGTCTGTGCAAGATAGACCTCTTCTATTAACCCATGAAACAAAAATTCCAGACAACTGCCGCTTCTAAATCTCAAAAGGAATCGGTAAGAAACTTTTACAGATTTAAAAAGCTGATTCTGGCTTTTAGCAATTCCAACAAAATGACCATGATTCCCATATCCTTCTCTTTGAAAAGTGCTAAGGCATGGGCAGCTAGGTGGCGCAGTAGATAGAGCACCAGCCCTGGATTCAGGAGGACCTGAGTTCAAATCCAGCCTCAGACACATAACACTTACTACCTGTGTGACCCTGGGCAAGTCACTTAACCCCACTGCCTAGAAAAAAAAAAGAAAAAAAAAAAAGAAAAGTGCTAAGGCAAACAGAGGGTCTCACCAAATAGGCCTCCAACCCAGTCCATCTTCTCAGCACAAACATTGTTTAATGGTTCCAATTTGGCAACTTCAGCCTGATGTTTTGCAAAGGCTAACTAATAAAGACAGATAGGAAAGTTTTTAACTGCTAATAATAATAATAATAATAATAAAGATACCATAACCTTCCTAATACATTTCAATCACTTTTATTTTTAAAAAAAACACTCATTCCATCATTATAAATCCAAAGTATGTTTTAAAAGAAATAAAGAAAAAAAAGGTCTATTATTTCTAAAACAAAATTGTTCTTCATTCACTATAAGAACATATTTCAATTGCATTTAGATATATTTAAGATCACTAATCACAGAAGTCACTATATGACTTTTTCTGGTGTTATCTATGTGATAAAGATAAAAAAATGAAAACTTATTAAGAGAAAGCTTCAAAAACTGGAAAAAAACAACTAGATCAAAAATGTTTAACAAATGACTTTTTTACATTACCTTATATAAATAGATCCAATTCCATCCAAAACTGAAAAGGAAACTGATGAACAAAACACGTTTTAACTGAGTATACCAACGAATATATGTCCATAATTCAGTAGCTATTAACATAACAATGCACAACAAACACAGAAGTACCTGGAAAACAAAGGAAATGGAAGTTGAAGTCACTATTATGGAAAGACTCCTCTACTCCCAAAATCTTATGGTTCATAAAATGAAAAAATTTTAACATAACCCAACTGCCTGCCTACGTGAGATATACATCTGGATATTGTCCCAAAAACTTAAACTCAACATATGTTCATCAATCAATGAACACACATTCATTAAGTACCTACTATGAGCACGGCACTATGCTAGGTAGTCCAAATACAAATGCAGAAAATACAATAATCTGTGCTCTCAAAAAGGTTACATTGTAATGAAAACAAGCATACACACACATATACATATTCATATGTATACATGTGTATATGTGTGTGTGTGTGTGTGTGTGTGTGTGTGTATATATACACATACATACATACACACAAACACAGAGAATAAGGAAAGTGAACAAATGCAAACAAACTGAATGGAGCTTGGGACGGAGGGATTCAGCAGCTTAGGGAGAGCAGGAAAGGCTTCATGTACAAAGTCATGTCTGAGCTGTGTTGAGGGAAGAAAAGGCCTCTGAGGTAGAAGTGAGAAGGAAGTACATTCCAGGCAGGGAAGGCAACCAGTACAAAGACACAGAAATGGGAGATATAGTGTGTGAGGCAGAAGGATGAGGGCTGAGAAAGGCTGTCAGATTTGGCAATTAAGAGACAGAGAAAGCAATTTTAGTGGTGTGTTCAGAAACCAGATTACGAAGTATTGAGGAAGAAATCAGAGAAGAGATATAAGATGACAGCTTGAGACTAAGGTAGGATCAACTGCACATTTTTTAAGGATGGGAGAGATTTGGGCACGTATGAAGACAGTAAGAAAGGAACCAACAGTCAGAGAAAAGTTGAAGATGTGATAAGTAGCAAGAAGAAATGCTTGAGATTGTAAACTGCTAGAGAATACTGGAGGGGGTAAGATTAAATACACATGTAGTGGAGCTGGCTTTGGCAAGAAGAAAGGCCACATCTTTGCCAGAGATGAAGAAAATGGGAAAAGAGGAAACACAGAATGATGCCCTCATTTTTCTCAGGAATACTCAAAACGTAGTTCATTACCTTCCTCCCTACCCTAACTGCTAATCTTTATTTCCCTATTTCTGTTGAGGTCATCACCATTTTTTTCCAGTTCCTTTACATAACATTCCACCTTCAACTTTCTGTGCCTTCCCACAAAAGCTAGTCCCCATATCTGGGATATTCTCCCTCTAAACTGTTAATTCTCAGAACCCCTAGCTCTTTTTCAAGGTGATGAGGAGGAGAAGGAGGGGGAGGAGAAAGGTAATAGCAGCTAGCACTTATATAGTGTATACTATGTGGCTAGCTAGCATTTATATGGTGCTTACTATGTGCCAAGCACTGCACTAAGCAATTTACAATTATTTCATTTGATCTTCACAAAATCCTGGGACAGGGGTGATATTATCCCCATCTTACAGTTGAGGCAACTGAGGCAAAAAGAAGTGACTTGCCCAAAGTCACGCAGCTGGCAAGTGTGAGACAAAATCTGAACCTCAGGTCTTCCTGACTCCAGGCCCAGCACTCTATCCACTGTACCACCCAGATGATAGCTTTGAATTGATGTAGTCTTTTTGGAAAGCAATATGGCATTATGTAATAATGATTACAAAACTGTTTGTACTCTTTATTTTTATATATTTGAATGTTTTGTTGATGTTTATTATTTTGTCATAAAAAGTAAAGAAGTAAATTCCTTACTCATCTTACCATGAATACATTATATGGATCCACACCAAAGGTTGTCTCAAAACTCCACTTCCAGGTCTCGAAATTATGAAATTTAAAATTAATTAGGATTTCACTTAGTGCATCATCTAAGGCTCCTGATTTCCAGTCTTCTCCACTCAGAAACTTTTGGATTTCTAATAATGTCTCTTTTTTAAGGATAACCTCAGCGTCATAATGCATATCTCCTCTGTCCTCACTGGGCTGAATAAAAGAGTAAAAAAAAAAGTAAAAAAAATTTAAGACGTGCTATTTTATCAACAATTTTATATTAGAATATCAGCCAATAAGAAACATTTGGAAGATACACTGTCATGTCACTTATAAATTAATCCCAGAATATTTACAGGTCTTATTTTATAACAAAGCAAATCCAGAGTAACATTTTCCTGTGAACAGCAAGAGACAGAAACAGAAATTCCATTTAAAGTTACTGTAGACATTATAAAATATTTAGGAGTCTACCTGCCAAAACAAACCCAGAAACTAACTATATGAACATAATTACAAAACACTTTTCACACAAATGAAGTCAGATCTAAATAACTGGAAAAACATCAGTTGCTCATGGGTAGGCCAAGCTAATATAATAAAAATGACAGTTCTTCCTAAGTTAATTTACTTATTCAGTGCCATACCAATCAAACTACCAAAACATTATTTTATAGAGCTAAAAAAAATAACAAGATTCATATGGAAGAACAAAAGGTCCAGAATACCAAGGGAACTAATGAAAAGAAATGCAAGGGAAGGTGGCCTAGCCATTCCAGATCTTAAATTGTATTATAAAGCAGCAATCATCAAAACTACTTAGTACTGGCTAAGAAATAAGAGTGGTGGATCAATAAATAGGTTAGGTACACAAGACATGGTAGTCAATGACTATAGTAACCTACTGTTTGACAAACCCAAAGACCCCAAAAACTCACTATTTGACAAAAACTGCTGGGAAAATTGGAAAAGCGTATAGCAGAAACTAGGCATAGACCAAAATCTTATACCCTATACCAAAATAAAGTCAAAATGGGTACACAATTTAGATATAAAGGCTGATACTATAAGCAAACTGGGAGAGAAAGGAATAGTTTACCTGTCAGATTTATAGAGAACAGAAGGATTTATGACCAAACAAGAGTTAGAGAATATTCTGAAATGCAAAATGGATAAGTCTGATTATATTAAATTGAAAAATTTTTGCACAAAGCCAATGTAACCAAGATTAGAAGGGAAGCAGAAAACCGGGAAAGAATTTTTACAACCAGTGTCTCTGATAACGGCCTCATTTCTAAAATATATAGAGAACTAAGTCAAATTTATAAGAATACAAGTCATTCCCCAATTGATAAATGGTCAAAGGATATGAACAGGCAGTTTTCAGATGAAGAAATTAAAGCTACCTATAGTCACATGAAAAAAATGCTCTAAATCAGTATCGATTAAAGAAATGCAAATCAAAACAACTCTGAGGTACCACATCACACCTATCAGGTTGGCTAACATAACAAAACAGGAAAGGAAAATGATAAAATGGAGATGTGGGAAAAATGGAACATTAATACATTGTTGGTGGAATTGTGAACTGATCCAACCATTTTGGAGAACAATTGGGAGCTATGCCCAAAGGGCTACAAAAATGTGCATACCCTTTGCTCCAGCAATAGCACTTCTAGGGCTATATCCCAAAGAGATCAAAACAAATGGGAAAAGGACCCACGTGTACAAAAATATTCATAGCAGCTCTTTTTGTGGTAGCAAAGAATTGGAAATTGACAGGATGCCCATCAATTGGGGAATGGCTGAGCAAGTTTTGGTATATGAATGTAATGGAGTACTATTGTGCTATAAGAAATGATGAATAGGCTGACTTCAGAAAAACCTGGAAAGACTTATATGGTCTGATGCTGAGTGAAGTGAGCAGAAAACAAGAGGACTTTGTACACAATAACAGCCACGTTATGCGATGACTAATATTGTTAAACTGAACCCTTCTCAGCATTACAAGGATCTAAGATATCTCCAGAGGCCTTGGGATGGAAAATGCTGTCTACATCCAAAGAAAGAACTATGGAAGTCGAATCACTCTCACTTACTTTTACCTTCTGTTGAGTTTTGTTTCATCTTTCTGATGGTTCCTCGTATTGGTTTTAATTTTTACTTACAACTTCATTAATGTGAAAATATGTTTAATAGGAATGTAAATGTAAAGCCTATATCAGATCGTGTGCTGTCTTGGGGAGGGGGAGGGGGAGGAAGGGGGAGAAAAATTTTCAACTCAAAAGCATATGGAAGTGATTGTTGATAAATGAAAATAAATTAATAATTTTTTTTAAAAAAATGTGCATACCCTTTGATCCAGCAATAGGACTTCTAGGGCTTCTAGGAGATCATAAAAAGGGGAAAAAGACCCACGTGTACAAAAATATTTATAGCAACTTTTTGTGGTGATAAAGAATTGGAAATTGAGGGGATGCCCACTGACTGGGGAATGGCTGAACAAGTCGTGGTATATGGATGTAATGGAATACTATTGTACTATAAGAAATGATGAACAGGCAGACTTCAGAAAAACCTGGACAGACCTGTATGGTCTGATGCTGAATGAAGTGAGCAGAACCACGAGAACGTTGTACATAGCAACAGCCATGTTGTGCGATGACTAACTTTGATAGACTTAACCCTTCTCAGCAATGCAAGGATCTAAGACATCTCCAAAGGCCTCAAAACGGAAAATGCTCTCCACATCCAAAGAAAGAACTATGGAGTTTGAATGCAGATCGAAGCATACTATTTGCTATTTCTTTTTCTTCTGTTGTGTTTTGTTTCCTCTTTCTGGTAGTTCCTCCTATTGGTTCTAATTCTCACTTACAACATCACTAATGTGAAAATATGTTTAATAGGAATGTGTATGTATAGCCTATATCAGATTGTGTGCTGTATTGGGGAGGGAGGTGGGGATGGAGGGGGAGAAAAATTTAAAACTCGTGGATAGAGCACTGGCTCTGGAGTCAGGAGGAGTGAGTTCAAATTCAGCCTCATACACTTGCCACTTACTAGCTGTGCAACCCTGGGCAAGTCACTTAACTCCACTGCCTAGCCAAAAAAAAAAAAAAATTTAAAACTCAAAGGCTTATGGAAATGATGGTTGATAAATAAAAAAAATTTAATTAAAAATAAATAAATAGTTTAAAAAAGAAAAATAAGTCACTTAACTTCTGACTTTATCTGTAACAACAAGAGAAAAAGAAAGGTGGGGAGAGAAAGGCAAATTGGGAAGAAAGGACAAAGACAGCATGACATAGAGATAGAGAGAGAAGAGGTCCTAGAATAAGGAAGACCTGAGTTCAAGTATTCTGCCAATATGATATTTGCTGTCTGACCAAGGACAAATCTTTCAACCTTTCAGAGCCCCAGGAAATTCTGTGATTATAAGTTACAGGGGTCAGGACATTTTCTATATTATTTCCCATTCTGATGAAATCACAAGCCTCGACAAAAGAAAAAAAAAGTGGGGGTTTTTTCCCCACTGGTTATGTACATTTGTGTGTACGTGTATATATCTGCTTACCTGTGTCTAAATATATAAAAATATGGACTATATAAAGTAAGCCTTTCAAAGATATTTCATGTTAGAGAAGTAGCAGATCTTTGGAAAGACAGTCCTCAGCTTTACAGAGCCCACAATCTGGTAGTTACCAATAGTGATATCATAAAAAAAAAAAATCAGTACACTGTAACACTTTGTAAAATGCATAGAAGAAAATAAAAGGAAATTCAGAAGGAAAAAAACTTAAGTTTTAAAAGAACTCAAAGAATTTATTATATATATTTTTTAAAGCAAGCAGTATGAAATGGAGATTTATGTTTTCATATAGAACCCCACTTTTGGTGTTCTGTGTGAATGGAAATGCCCTTTTCTGAGGTGTTTTAAGTCCAGGAAAAAAATTTTTTTAAAGAATTATCATTAATCAGAAGTGTCTTTAAATTTTGGACTCAGCATCATGATTGTTACTAATATGTCTAATGCCAACCAGTGTAAAAACTGTCATCTTTATTCATTTGCCAACTTCTGGTGAAAAATCCAATTTTAAAATGCTTTCATAAAATTTAAAAATACTCAATGGCATCAAGTATCTTGATTTTTGATTCCTTAATTTGAAAAGTTTTAGGAAGCTAACATCATACAATAGCTTGGTTTTCACATCTTATTAATTTGTATTAGTGATTCTATAATGCAATAGCTACCATATTAAGCAGCAGGAGGAAAAAAACTATTTAAAGAACAGTTTTTAAAATTTTTTTAAAACTACATAATGACTTTACTGCATATGATCAACAAAGTGTTGAAACAGTAAAACCAAAAAAAGTTAAGACTAGAAGCCCATTGAAGCCTATTTAGAAAAGCCATCTAAAGTTTTAAAACGGTCCAAAATACTATCCCAACTTTATGTATTTATTCTCTTACATGCGAACAGACTAAAATGCACAAAATCACATGAAATAAGGGGGAAATAAATGTCTAGATTTATTGATTCAGTAGTAAAAAGGAAATTAAATTTTTTCACCCTGTGACACAATAGATTAAAAAGATGTGACAGCCTCTGCTTCTTTAGACTTTCCTTTTAGTAATATCATTATAATTTACAAAGAACAAAATATTACACTGACTAATGCAACAACTGCCAAATACTCACAAGTCCAAGTTTTCCAGCTTCAATTAAAATCTTATTTAAGTATCTCCTGAAAACATGATTACTCTGGCTTTCGCAGTCTGTTTTCTTTTTCTTTTCACACTCGTTAATCTGTAATCATACGTTAAATTCTAGATTAGTTTTCAATAAAATTTAATAACAAATAATGGTGAAATTTCTAATCAAGCACACTAACCAAAATAATGTGAAGATGACCCCAAAAATAATTTGTCATGCTTATATTTATGAACCATACCATCAGTATGTAGCCTGCCAGCCCCATAAGTTTCAGAATTTTTTCACGCAAAGGGAAAAATTAAGTTAACATCAAGAAGCAAACTCAGCAGTCACTGCCCAACATTTCTTTTTGCTTGCTTCCTTCCTATCAGCTTCTGGTTAAACAAACAAAATCTACTGTAGAAGAATCTGTCAGATTATGAATAGGGAAAGCAGATCCAGTAGCAGTAATAATTATAACAATAATAACAGCTAATATTTCTATAGTGTTTACAGGTTATTTCATTTGATCTAACAATTCTGTGAAGGTGTTATCATTTTATCCCCATTTTACATATGAAAAGGAAGTCAAGAGAAGTTAAGGGCCCTGCCCGGGTTCATAGCATTATTGATCATGGAAGGCTCCAAACAAATCCCCTGGAATAGAGGGCCCACTGCCCCAACACCCACGAGCTCCCTCTATTCCTTACACTACCAGTTCTCTCTTCATAGAGATGACTACTGAAATACACAAATACAGAGTTGCTGGAACGTTGGTTCACTTCCACCGTGGCTGCCAACTCACTGGCTGAGAATTGTGGGAGTTTTTGGAGGTTGAATGTATTTACCAGTTTTCTTTGAATAGTTTTTGATTCAAAGCCATAAAATCTAGAACTAAGAAGTTTTTGTGAAATCATCCCTTTTTGTCTTAAAGGACTACTTTTACTAAAAGTCTTTAATTCTAGATTTTATGGCTTTGAATCAAGGCAACCTGGCATAAGAGCTAGTCACGAAACCTCTTAATGCACTGGGAACTGTCCAAGACTGTAAATAGCAGAGATGGTGCTAATCTACACTGAGAGAAGGAGTTTCACTATTCCAGTGAAATTACAGTTCTGGTCCCTATCCTTTTTCTTTTTAGTTGCACTGTGTATTTGTTAATATGTAGCCATTTGCTCCATATTCTCTACAATTTTTTTCAGAGTAATTTTCAAATTATCAAACAAGTTAAATGTTCATATATTCATATGAAGGTAACTGAATTTTTCTTAGAGATTTAATAGCACCATAAGTACCAAATAAATATCTCCTGAGATAAATTCAACTGTATGATTTGTTTCAGAACAAAGCTGAATGAATTATCTATTCATAAAAGCTAGCAATATGCCCATTCTAATTAATGATCAAGAATAAGTGGCTGGAAACAAATTCCTGAGAGAATTTTCACATTAACACAGAAGTTCTGAATGAAAGATTCTAACCTTGTAAGTTAAAGAATCAAGTCTGTTATAACATTCTGACATTTCATCAGCACATGACAAGTTGGAATCTGTAAGACTTATTTCCTTTTTCTCTGACTTTCCATAGTTCACCTATAATAGAACAAACAAAGATTTCAGTTTTTTAGAATCACAGTATCTCAGAGTTGGACCATCTAGTCCAAATTCCTCAACTATGTAGAAATTCCATCTGGCCTCTACTTGAACACTTCTAGTGATGAGGTACTCGCTATATAACAAGAGCAATTTTCTACATACCTCACAGGATTGTTGAGGAATTCAAATGAGACATGAGCAAAATGCTCTGTACATCTTGAAGTATAGGGCCAGCTAGGTAGAGTAGAGGACAGAGCTCCAGCCCTGGAGTCAGGAAGACAGGACCTGAGTTCTAATTCAACCTCAGACATTTGACACTTACTAGCTGTGTGACTCTGGGCAAATCACTTAACCCCAACTGCCTAACCAAAAAGCACAAAAAAAAAAATCTTAAAGCGTTCAAATAAATAGCAGCTACTGTTAATAAGGCATCCCTTTTCATTTTGAGGTAGTTCTTAAATTTGAATGCTGAGAAGCTTTTAATCAAGTTCAAAGTTTCAACAACATGATTTTGTAAATGGATTTTATTAATATTCTTCAACAACCTCTCCTCTCAAATACAAGTTAAGAATAACAGAATATCCCAGAGCTGACATTGTACTAGCATCTACTGCTGAAGGAGCTTATTTTCACGAATGCATGACTGCACACATATAACCTAGATCAAACTGCTTGCCTTCTCAATGAGGGGAAAGGTAAAGGAAGGAGAGAGGAAATTTGGAACTCAAAATTTTAAAAAATGAATGTTAAAAATTATTTTTACACATAATTGGGGGGAAATACTAAATGATTTTTTAAAGAGCCTATTTTCACATGCCAACCCAGAAATAACCAGGTCAGTTTTAAGAACCAATGATTTGACATTGAATCCAATTCAACAAACATTTATTCAGTATTTAATCTGCATAAGGCACCTATGCTAGGTGTTGGGAATAAAAAAATTAAATGGAAAAACTATCCCTGTCCTCAAGGAGTTTACTTCTACTAGGCAAAGATAATATTCAATTCAGTGCTCTCATAGCCCTACACAGTTAGAATATTCATACTATAAAACGAAAGTGTCTCTCCCTCTCTTTCTCACACACACACACACACACACCCAGAGATGAAGGTACCTGAGGAGCTTTTCTCATTGTTCCAGAAGCAGCATCATAATTAAGCATATCTGTGGGATCAATCCATTCATCATCTTGAGCATAACCAGGTACCATTAACAGAAATATACATAAGAGCAAAGAATTCAGCATCATGAAAAACCTAAATAAAAACATCCACACACATTACTTATAATGATTTTATTAAAGAAAACATAGTTTAATTCTTTCTAATTTTAAGTTTTTTAATCCATTTAACTAAAGAACACAGAAAAAGCCTACCTAATACTAGATTAACACAGAAATGAATTTTTAAAAATGTACAATTAGTAAAAATATGGCCCAAGAATTCATTAGAGAATGAAGTTGAGAGCCCTCCTAAATGGAAAGATGAAGAAAATGAGAAAACCTGAGACTAGCATTTAAAATGTAACAAAGAACAAAACAATAACATGAATCACTTAGGTATGTCAACCAAATGGAATCAGCCTTTAACCTGTGAATGGCCAAAGCAGGCTTGAGACAGGAAGTCAGGAATCAAACAGAAGATTAATTTCAAGGTGAGGGACACAATTTGCAAAGCAAGGACACATGCTGGAGCCCCACTCCTAGTGGGGAAATCTGCTTTAGTGTGGCTGGACCTCAATTTATATACTTGTGACTAGATAAATAGTCAAACACTGTAGTAGAGTAACAGCAGTGAGGCATAACAGCAACAGTGAGGCAAGGCTGTCTAGTAACAAAAAGTCCATTCCTAGCAGAGCTTCATGTCTGGGCCTGTTGATGTTTGCCCAAGCTCAGGGACCCTCTGTTCCAGAAGCTGAGCACAAAGGATTGTTGTTATGCCAAACTCGGGGCACAGCTTGCTTACTGGGCCTTAGCTCTACCTTGACAAGTCCTTCCAAATCAATTCATAAACATACACTAAATTGTAAGATCAATGGCCTCCTGTCAGTCATGCATCTATTTGGCAAACTGGTAAACTGTGTTACTTGGAAAGGTGGGGGTTGAGAGGGGCTCCACACCACAGACTGGTGTGTTGAGTCTGGAGAATTTTAGGACCCTGTGGAAGAGCAGAAATCACCAGGGAGGAGGAGAAATATTTGATTGCTTGTGGGCTACTGTGAGTTATTATTTTTTATGTTTGTTTACAGGCGTCTCTTTTCAAGTTTTTTTGTATCATATATGCTGATATGCATTTATTACTTGTAGGGCTCTGCACACTGAGGAGCTTGGGACCATGCTATGATCCTACATTTAAACTGACACAAATTATACACTACCCATATCTGGAGATTTCCTAGAGTAAATTCTGGATAGGAGAATATTGAGCCAAGAAGTATGTGGTATTTGTGGGTAGCTCCCAAGATGGTCCATCGTAAGTCAGAGCAGGGAGTCCAAGACCATGAGTTACAAATGGTGAAACTGAGGTTCAGGGAGGGGAAGTGATTTGTCCAGGGTCACACATCCCCTAAGCAGAAATGGCAGAATTTGAACCCAGTCTCCCTGACTGTAAGTCAAGCATTATGCCAGCTGCCCCAGGAACTGGGTGGTGGTGTGAAGATCTAATTAATAGCTAAGTCTTCAGGAATCTGCAAAGTAACCCATCTGGGAAGATGATATAATGAGTGGTCACAAGGAAGCAAAGCTCCCTAAAGAAACAGCCTTTCTATAGTCACTAAGCTGTGCATATGCTTTGACCCAATGGTATCATTACCAGGCCCACCTAAAAGAGATCAAAGAAAGAGAGGAAAAGGACCTATAAGGACAAAGAGATTTATAGCAGCTCTTTTGTAGTTGCCCCAAACCAGAAACTAAGGAGGTGTTCACCTACTGCAAAATGGCTAAATAGATTGTGGCAAATGAATATGATAGAATATTACTGTGCTGTAAGAAATAATAAAAACGACAGCTTCAGAGAAAACTGGGGAGCCCTCTGTTCACAAAGTTAATACACAATGCTAATGACATTACAGAGAAAAATAACTGCTGAAAGTCTGATCAATGCAAAGATAAACCACAAATCCAAAGAACTGAAGATGAATGATGCCACCACCTCCTGCTAGAGAGGTGGTGAACTTGAAGTACAGAATGAGACAGGCGTTTTTGGACATAAATAATATTTTTATTATTAAGAGCAATGGCAATATCTAGCATTTATGGTACATATCAAGGTTTGCAAAACAATTTACACATATTAATTTCATTTTATATTTCTAACAACTCTGGGAGGTAGGTGCTATTATTATTCCCACTTTATAGATGAGATAACTGAGATACCTCAGGCTAGTTTGGAACTCAGGTTTTTGAGGTATCTGAGACTAGATTTGAACTCAGGTTGTTTTTTGGCTTTTTTTTTATATAAATTTATTTATTTGTAGTTTTCAACATTCATTTCCACAAGTTTTTGAGTTCCAAAATTTTCACCCCATCTCACCCTCCCCCCACCCCAAGATGACATGCATTCTGAATATCCCTTCCCCTAGTCTGTCCTCTTTTCTTTCTCTCCCCTTCCCCTTCTATCTTCCTGTAGGGCAGGACAGACTTCTGTACCCCATTTCCTGTATTTCTTATTTCCCAGTTGCATGTGAAAACTTTTTTTTTAAACATATGTTTTTAAAACTTTAGGTTCCAAATTTCCTCTCTTCCTCCCTCCCCACCCACCCTCATTGAAAAGGCAAGCAACTCAATATAGGTTGTACATGTGCAGTTATGCAAAACACTTCCATAGTAGACATGTTGTGAAAAACTAACTCTATTTTCCTTAATCCTATCCTGCCCTCCCATTTATTCTATTCTTTCTTTTGACCCTATCCCTCCTCAGAAGTATTTACTTCTGATTACCCCCTTTCCCAATCTGCCCTCCTCTCTATCATCCCCCTGCTCTCTTGTCCCCTTCTCCCCCTATTTTCTTGTAGGGTAAGACAGATTTCCATACCCAATTGAATGTGTATGTTATTCCCTCCTTAAGCCAAATCCTATGAGAATAAGATTACTCATTCCCTCTCACCTTCCCCTTTCCCCTCCACTGTAAGAGACTTTTCTTTTCTTTTTTTTTGTGAGATAATTTACCCCATTCTACCTCTCCCTTTCTTCTTCTCCGAGTATAATCCTCTCTCATCCCTTAATTTTATTCTCCAGATATGACCCCTTAATCTTCAACTCACCCTGTGCCTATCTATCTACATATACATACATATAATTTTTTTCCTCCAACTACCCTAATACTGACAAAGGTCTCATGAGTTATAAATATCATCTTTCCATGCAGGAATGTAAACAGTTCAATCTTAATAAGTCTCTTATGATTTCTCTTTCCTGTTTACCTCTTCATGTTCCACTTGAGTCCTGTATTTGAAAGTCAAATTTTCTATTCAGCTCTGGTCTTTTCATCAGAATGCTTGAAAGTCCTCTATTTCACTGAATGACCATTTTTTCCCCTGAAGGATTATACTCAGTTTTGCTGGGTAGGTGATTCTTGGTTGTAATCCTATCTCCTTTGCCCTCCAGAATATTATATTCCATGCCCTGCGGTCCTTTAATGTAGAAGCTGCTAAATCTTGTGTTATCCTGATTGTGTTTCCACAGTACTTGAATTGTTTCCTTCTGGCAGCTTGTAATATTTTCTCCTTGACCTGGGAACTCTGGAATTTGGCTACAATATTCCTAGGAGTTTTCCTTTGGGGATCTCTTTCAGGAGGAGATCTGTGGATTCTTTCAATTTCTATTTTGCCCTCTGGTTCTAAATATCAGGGCAGTTTTCCTTGATAATTTCTTGAAAGATGATGTCTAGGCTCTTTTTTTGATCATGGCTTTCAGATAGTCCAATAATTTTTAAATTCTCTCTCCTGGATCTATTTTCCAGGTCAGTTGTTTTTCCAATGAGATATTTCACATTGTTTTCTAATTTTTCATTCTTTTGGATTTGTTTTACAGTGTCTTGATTTCTCATAAAGTCACTAGCTTCCAATTGCTCTATTCTAATTTTTAAGGAAGTATTTTCTTCAGTAATCTTTTGGACTTCCTTTTCCATTTGGCCAATTTTTCTTTTTAGGGCATTCTTCTCCTCATTGGCTTTTTGGACCTCTTTTGCCATTTGGGTTAGGCTATTTTTTAAGGTGTTATTTTCTTCAGTATTTTTTTGGGTCTCCTTTAGCAAGCTGTTGACTTGTTTTTCATGATTTTCTTGCATCACTCTCATTTCTCTTCCAGTTTTTCCTCTACTTCCCTTACTTGCTTCTCAAAATCCCTTTTGAGCTCTTCCAAGGCCTGGGACTGATTCATATTTTTCTTGGAGGCTTTGGATGTAGGAGCTTTGACTTTGTTGTCTTCTTCTGGTTGTATATTTTGATCTTCTTTTTCACCAAAGTAAGATAATATAGTCTGACTCTTTTTGCTGCTTGCTCATGATCCCAGCCAATTACTTGAGTTTTAAACTCTTTGTTAAGGTAAGAGTCTGCTTCCAATGTGGAGAATGTACTGTCCCAAGCTTCAGGGGTTTGTGTAGCTGTTTTCAGAGATACTTGTAGGGACCTGTAAATTTTCAGTTCTTCCAAGGTGGTATGATAAGGGGAGGTGTTTACTCCTTTCCTGGCCTGTGACCACAAGTATTCCTTTCTGTCCTGTAACTGTGAGGAGGGGTGCCTCTCCACAGCCACTACAAGCTCCACCATGCCAGCGCTCCTCCTCACCCCAGCACTGCCGCTCAGAACTGTGACCCAGATCCACACACGGGCAAAGCAAGAGATTCCTGCCTCAGCACTGGCAAAGAGATCCCTGCAGTCCCTCTCTGATCAGCCACTGGATTCCCCCTCAGTCTGTGGGCCGGAAGCTCGGGAAGCAGCTGCCCCCCCAGGGCCACGCTCTTGGGGAATGGAGCTGAAACCCCGCCTTCCTCTCTGAGCACCGACAGAAACAGCCTTTTCCCACTGACCTTCTAAGTTGTCTTTGGCATTAGTGGGTTGAGGAGTCTGGAAACCTCCACAGCTGCCCGCGATTCAGTCCTCTGAGGCCTGCTCCAGGTTCGCTGCGGCCTGCGTGCCCACGCTGCCTTGCGCTCCCAGCCCGGTGTGACACACCTTTCTGATCAATCATCCAGGTTGTCTTGGGCTGGAAATTTGTTTCACTCTGTCTTTTTTGTGGGTTCTGCTGCTTCAGAATTTGTTTAGAGCCATTTTTTATGAGTATTTGGAGGGGTTTGGGGGAGAGCTTAAGCAAGTCACTGCTTTCACGCCGCCATCTTGGCTCCGCCCCCTTGGCTTTTTTTTTTTTAAACTCCAGGTTCAGTACTCTATTCACTATGCCACCTAGCTACTTCTGATGTGGAAATTTGCTTTGCTTGGTAAAACTGTGTAGGCTTGTTGTGATGTTTAAAAAAAAATTTCAATGAAGGAGTGACCATAGAAAGAAGAGATAATAAATGCTTTTATAAGTAAATAATTTTAAAGTAGCAACAGGAAATAAAATTGCTACAAGGTTCTAGTGAAAAATCAAAGCTCACCCAAAAGACAATGTGTTCTAGTATTTAAAAAATTATAGAGAATGAAAAGCTAAGGAAAATGAAATTATTACTAAAATATTATCCAGAGTTGCATCAGAAACGATGCAAGAAATTCTGACAGATGCCTTCAAAAGGATTTCAATAGTAATCAAGCAATTAAAGGATGAATAAAATTATCTAACAGAATCTGAAGAATTAATGGAAGAAAAGAATACAATATAATCAAGATGGAAGAGTGAGATTTTAGAAGAGGGCCTGGCTCACATATTCCTCAAAAGACAGCAACAGAAAATTACAAAAAGGAAAACATCTTTAAAACTATGCAAGAGAATAAAAATCAACTAACATATATATGGATATATGTGTGTATATATTTAAATATGGAACAAGTGAAACAGCTAAGGTTATAGTGGAAAAGAATAAATATGGAAAAAGAAACAACAAAAACATCTGAGAGATACCCTCAATGGATAAGACTTTTAAAGAAATTAAGCATGCAAAAATTAACACTAATTTTTTTAAAGAGTCAAAAGAACAAATAAAAAGCAAGCTCAAAAAATTCATGGGGGAACTAAAACTGGATGAACAGAATCACAGAATTGTAAAGTTCCTCAGAACCTTTTCTAGACCATCCCACACTTGAAAAAGCATGTCCTCTACAATACACCCAAGAATCCAGCCCTTTATCTGAAGACTTCCAAGAAGGAAGACCCCACTACCTCCAAGGCAACCCATTCTAGTTTGTTCTATTTGTTGGTTTTTCCTTAGTTACAAGCAACTAAATGGTGTGCAGTGGTTATAACACTGGGGCTGGAGTCAGGAAGACTTGAGTTCAAATCCAGCCTCAGACACTTACTAGCTGTGTGACCCTGGACAAGTCACTTAACCTCTGTTTGCTTCAGTTTCTTCATCTGTAAAATGGGAACAACAATAGCACCCACCTATCAGGGTTGTTGTGAGGACTGAATAAGGTAATATTTCTAAAGAGTTATATAAATCTTAAAGTGTTATATAGATACTAGCTATCAGTCAAAAGCTGACAGATAACTCAACTGAAAAACAAGGCCAGAAAATAATCCAACTAAAAAGAATGTTTTGGAATCAATTTAGGTACATTTTAGGGGAAGAGCTTGGAGGGGGGGTGGGAGGAGGGGCGCGGAGATCCAATAAAGGAAACTTCAGGATTACAGAAAATATTAAAAAAAAAATGTCAGAACTACTGACAATAAGCAAAATGCTACAAATACAAATAAGAAATGCTCTATAAAACTTCAACCAGGAGAAACTTAAAACACAACTCACCTAGATATATATGTCCTCATCAAATGTAAAAACAATCCTTTAAACTTCCAGAAAGATAGCAATCACATATCAAAAATCATCAATCAGAATGTCACCAGATTTTTCTATAAAAAATAACCAATAACCAAAGAAGTTATACTTTAAAACATATAAAACTTCAAAACACAGGTAGCTTTAATTCCAAGTTTCCCAGTAAATCTTAACTTTCTATTTGAAAGCAAAAGATAGATATTTGCAAACCAAAAAAGATCTCAAAAATTTATGGATAACAATACACAAATCAAAAGATCTGAAGCTAAACTAGAGAGACCAAAAAAGAGATTTAACTGCCTGTTATAACTAGTTATTTTCCCCCTCAACTTATAAGCCTTCATCATGAGTTAAAAATAATTAGAGAATTATATGATCAAATTATTTAATAATAGAGGGATTAAAAGGAGCAAAAGATGACTAGAAGGGCAAAAAGAAATAATGGAAACATAAAAACTAAAGAATAGACAAAAACGAAAGGAGAAAGGAGTAATGGTGATCCCAAAGTAAAATTCCTTTTTTTGAAAATGGGATAACTGAGACTTAGACAGCCTTACAGATTAAATGTCAGAATTTTGCTTAGCAGTATTAGTTTTACTGCCAACACAGCTAGGTGGCACAGCAGATAGAGAGACGGACCTGGAGTCAGAAAGACCTGAGCTCAAATCCAGCATCAGATACTCAGTAGCTGTGTGACCCTGGACAAGTCATTTAACCTCTGTTTGCCTCAGCGTCCTCAACGGTAAAACAGGTTAATAAATGTGCCTACTTCCTAAGATTTTCTTTTTTGGGTTTTTTTTTTTAGGCAATTGGGGTTAAGTGACTTGCCCAGGGTCACAGAGTAAGTGACAAGTGATTGGTCTGAGGATGGATTTGAACTCAGGTCCTCCTGACTTCAAGGTCAGTGCTCTATCCACTGCACCATCTAACTGCCCCTTTCCTAAGATTTCTTATCCCACTTATCATAGTGCTTGGAATTCAGTAAGTGACATACAAATGCAAATTCTCTTCCTTCCCTAGTGCTGTTAAAAAGTAATCATCTTAAACATTTGGCATTAAATAAAAATGATCAATGGAACCAATCAGAGAAACTAGAAATATAAGCAAAAGTAAACCAGATATTAGTGGCTGATAAAACCAAGATTATAAAACATTAGGGAGAAAATCATTCAATAAAAATTATTGGGAACACTGGCTAGCAGCAAGGTGAAATATAAATCTGGATTAGCAATTTACACTTCAAAAAAATAAATTCCAGTAGGATCAATGTCCTGAACATTTTTAAATCATTAAAAATTTGTTAGAAAAAGGGATGCACTTCAATTATCAAAGAAAGAAAAAATTTTTTTTAAATCTTAACTCACTCATAGCTGGCTGGCTTATTCACTGATTCATTCATTCTTTCATTTATTTATTTATTGACAGGGTCTTTCCTTAGCTCTCCCAGGCTGGAAATGCAGCAGTTCACTCACAGGCCCCATCCCACTTCTGCCCAGCATAGTTATCACCTGCTCCATTCAAGGCATCAGCCAGTCCGCTCCTCCTTGAACTGCCTTGGTGACCACCTAATCCCATAAACTCACCAAACCAGTGCTGAATTGAAGGAACATTCTGTAAACTAATGTGTTTAAGGTTTACAGACCACTTAACAGGCAAGTACAGTTATCCTCATTTGACATATGAAGAGAGGCCACAGAGATTCAGAGAGGCTAACAACTTGCCCGAAGCCAGTATGTGATCAGATTGAGCTGGGATTTATACTCAAAGTCTCTTCAGTGCAAGAGCAGTGTTTTTTCCACTACACCAAACGAAAGAAATTACTAGAAACAAAACTTAACCAAAATGATCATACTCTTTGATTCAATGATATTCTGACAGCATAGTTTCTTAATCTGGAGTCCATGAACTTGTCTTTCAAAAAAAAATTAGTAACTATTTCAACCTAATTGGTTTCCTCTATTAATTCTACTTTAAAATTCTACATTTAAAAACATGCTGAGAAAGTATCCATGGTTAAGAACTCCTATACTGGAGTGACTATATCCTAATAATGTTATTTTTTACACATACATACATACATACATACATACATACATCTTTCTGGTGAGGCAATCAGGGTTTTAAGTGACTTGCCCAGGGTCACACAGCTAGTGTCAGGAGTTTGAGGTTAAATTTGAACTCGGGTCCTCCTGACTCTGATAGTGTAATTAAAAGGGGAGAAAAAGACCTATTTACCTGTACAAAACTAGTCACAGATATTTTATTTGTATTCTTGAAAAATAAGACAATTTATGTGTCCAAAGATTGGGGAACAGCTGAATAAATTGTTATGCATCAATTTGGGGCTACTGTGTCATTAAAAATGACAAACACTACGAACATAAAAAAAATACAGAAAGGCTTATTATACAAAGAAATGCAAAGTGGAGGGAAGAATTAGATGACCCTCCCGAGGCTCATGGATCATAAATTTAGAGATATTAGAAGTCATCTAACCCAACCATCTCATTTCACTCACAAGGAAAACTGAGTCCTAGACAGGTGAAATGGCTTGCCCCAGGGGATGCTATGTAAAACAGCTATATACTTTATTAGTACAGACTGAATTAGAGTTCAGAAGGTGAATTAAAGGATTTTTATCTTGTTAAAATTTACATCAATCAACAAACCTTTTTTTTTTTACTTTTTTTGGCTAGGTAATGGGCTTAAGTGACTTGCCCAGGGTTACTCAGCTAGTAAGCATTAAGTGTCTGAGGCAAGACTTGAACTCAGGTCCTCCTGACTCCAGGGCCAGGGCTCTATCTACTTCATCACCTAGGTGACCCTCAATAAACATTTATTAACACACTACAATGCCCCAGGCAATGTTGCTTAGGTACTGTGGAGGCAAAAGACAGTCCCTGCCCTCAAGAAGCTTACAATCTGGCGAGGAGGACAACATGCAAACAAATATATACAAAGCAAGGTTTGTACAAGAAAAATAGGAAATAATTAAGAGGGGGCAGGAAAGCCTTCCTATAAAAGATGTATCTTAGTTGGGACTTAATGGAAGCCAGTAAAGTCAGTAGTCTGAGCAGAAGACAAGTAAGTGTTCCAGTAACAGGGAACAAGCACAGAAAATGCTGAAAGCCAAGAGATGAAGTGTCTAGTTCCCAGGCCAAGAAGCCAGTGTCACTGAATCTAAGACAAGAGTTTGTTTTGGGGGATAAGGTGTATTAAGACAAAAAAAAAGTAGGAGACGGCTAGGTTATGAAAGACTTCGAATGCTAAAGCATTTTGTACTGGATCCTGGAGGCAACTGGGAGCCACTGGAGTTTATTGGGGGGGGGGAAGAGTGACATGGTCAGACCTGAGCTTTAAGGTGATGACCAATCTGATAGCTGAATGAAAGATGGAGTGGGGAGAGCCTTTTAGTAAGCTGACCCTCCAGCAGCTAACTGCAGTAATCCAGGTGATGAAGGCCTACCCTAGAGTAAGGGCAGGGTCAGAGGAGATGTGAAATCAGCAGGCATTGGCAACAAATTGGATATGGAAGACGAGATTTAGTGAGGAGGTCCAGGATGACTCCTAGGTTGTGAGCCTGAAGGACTAGGACAAGGCGGAAGATGCCCAGGACAGTAATAAGGCAGATAAAAGGTAATATGGTTTACATATCTTAAAAATATAGTTCCTATCATATGGCTTTATTTTTTCTTTCCTACTTTGTTGAGTTTTACAAAGTGTGCAAACGAATTTTTTTAAAAAATCTACGGGTAGACTTTTATTTACTGGCTGCAAGAAACACACAGTATAAAGGGCAGTACAAGGTGGTGCAGTGGAGAGAGCACTGGCCTTGGAGTCAATTCAAAATCCAACTTCACACACTTGACATAGTAGCTGTGTGGCCTGGGGCAAGTCACTTAACTCCGATTGCCTGGGGGGAAGGGGGGAAGAAACATACAGTATAAAGGGAGATGGAGATTAAATATACCTAAATCAACTAGTTTTTACGTACAGATAAATTCATTCATAGAATAAACATTTATTAAGCACCTACTATGTGCCAGGCACTATGCTATTAGTACAAGGGATAGAAAGATGAGTGGCCTGCAACTCAATTCAGATTTGTCTAAATAAAGCTTCCAACTAAAAGTGAATAAATACTAAGGATATGAGAGGAATATGAGCCACCAAGATGTAGTGCTCAGAGAGAGCAGCCTCGAAGGCAGTCAGAACTGGGGATTCGTTAGGGGCAGCTAGGTGGCGCAGGGGATAGAGCACCAATCCCAAAGTCAGGAGGACCTGAGTTCAAATCCGACCTCAGACCAAACACTTGGCACTTACTAGCTGTGTGACCCTGGGCAAGTCGCTTAATTCCAATTGCCTAAAGTTTAAAAAAAAAAAAAGAACTGGGTATTCGTGTCCTACCCCTGACAAAATTGGCTGAACGAACCGGGGCAAGTCGCTTAATTTAATCACGAGGCGCTCCGGACAATTCTCAATGGCTGGGAGTTTCGGGGAAGTTGAGAAGGTGCCAATCTGCCTCGGTAGCTGGGCTTCCCCTCACTTGGGGACCTATACTAAATGAAACCACAAGTCCGGCCCCTAAGCTATGGGAGGCTGGGTAAAGTCAATCAATAAGCGTTTCTTAATCGCCTATCGAGTTATACATCCTATGCTAAGCGCCGGAGATCCAAAAGGCAGCCTGCCCTCGGAGAGCTCACCTTCTAGCCCAAGTAAAGGATGGGTCTGAACGCCTCCAGGAGCGGAGGGAAGGAGGCAGAGGACAGAGAGAGTGGGAGAGGGAGGAGGGGGGAAAGGGAATTGACAGAGGAGTAGGGGCGGGAGGGAGGAAGAGAAAAGGGAGGGGGAAGAGAACTTCCAGTCTCTCCCTACTTTCCCCTCACGCTCCCAGAGTTTCGGACGTCAGGTCCCGTTCCCGCTTTTCTTGGGGACGAACGCCAAGCCCCGGGATCACCGAGCCCAGCCCGGCCCCGCCTCGTCCCTCGCGGGCTTAATTAGCATCCCAGGGCCACCCTCCACCCCCCACCCCCGCGCCTTTCTGCTCCGGACTCTCCCTGGTCTGCTCTCACAACAGCGGCCTGTGACCGACCCCCGCGGGGCCAGGACCAAGCGAGAGGGGCTCGAGACTCGGAGGGAGGCCGGGCTCTGGAGCCAGGCCCAGGGGGAAGGAGGGAGACGGCAAGGGCTCCATAATAAACAAGCTCACCCCAGAAGAGAGCCCTCCAACCCTCTCACACTGGACGAAGGACGAAACCGAGGCACGGGAAAGAACACCTTCCTCTCCCCCTACTGGGTGTGCTCCCCGAGGGCCCGAGCGCCGCTGCCCACCCAGGGGTCTCAGCCTCGCGGCTCACGTCCTCCCCGGGGTCTCGAGAACACGCAGGACCCCGCAGACGGACATCCTCCCCTCTCCGCGCTTGACAAAAACAAACGCACCGGCCTCGGCCCCGGTTCCGACCAGCTCAGCCCGCTGGAGACTGACAGTTGGAAGGGGGCGGAGCCCTTCTCCCAGGCGCCCTCGAGGGAGCGCCGAGCCATCCACTCACCGCGCGTGCGCCGAGCGCCACATCGCATCGACGTGTTCCGCTTTCCCCCTCCCGCCTCAGACTGATGCTGTTGGTTGGTAGCTTCCTGTTGGGACTTGGAAAGTGCCCAGTATCACAGAACCTTCCCCCCCTTTTTTTAAATTTTTTTTTATTAATTTATTTTAATTTATCAACAATCTTACATAAGCTTTTGAGTTTTAAATTTTTCTCCCCCTCCCTCCCCAAGACGGCGTGAAATCTGATGTAGGCTCTACATATATATTCCTATTAAACATATTTTCACATTAGTCATGTTGTAAGGAAGAATTAGAAAAAATAGGAGGAACCACAAAGAAAGAAAACAAAACAGAAGAAACATTCAAACTCCATAGTTCTTTCTTTGTATGTTTGAGACTTTTGGAGATGTCTTAGATCCTTGCATTGTGGACAAGGGCTAACTCTATCAAAGTTAGTCATCTCATGACGTGGCTGTTACTGTGTGCAACTCACTTCATTCAGCATCAGTCCATACAAGTCTTCCCAGGTTTTTCTGAAGTCCGCCTACTTATTTTTTATAGCATAACAGTATTTCATTACATTCATATACCATAACTTAAAGCCTTTTTTTAAATAAAAATTTTTTTACAATTAATAAGCATTTTTTTCCTCTTCCTCCCACATCACCCTCACGAGGAAAAAACCCAAAATAACACACATTAAGCACCTACTATGTGCCAATAGAACAAACATGCATAATCAAAACAAATTCCCATACTGGTCATGTCCAATATTGACTCTCTTGATTAGGTGGTCTTATCAGTTCTCTAGAATCGTGGTTAGTCATTGTGTTGATCAGTTTCTAAGGCTTTCAAAGTTGTTTTTAAAAATGCATTTATTGTATAAATTTTCTCCTGGTTCTGCTTACCTCATTTAGCCAGAATCAACAATCCAATAAATACTGATTAAATGCTGCCTAGGTGCCAGGCACGATGTTAAGCTGTGAGGATATAACTGATGATTAAAAAAAAAAAAGACAGCCTGTACCCCCAAGGAGCTCTGAATTTAATTTGGGGAGACAGCACACAAAAGGAAGGTGGAAAGAGGAATGGGAATGGGATAACGGGGCATCTTGTTCTGTAGAGTTGAAACCAGGTAGAGCAGCAGATGAAGAGTGGAATGAGTTGACAATCTAGTTTCTGCACTTTATACATAAAGGAAGGCACTGGAGGAGGCTGAGGGAGATGGTGACCAGAATCAGAATGTTGAGCTGAAAGGAACCTTAAAGGTCATAGGGTCCAAACCACCCCAGTAGAGGGTAAGTCCTAGGAGGGGTGGGGAACCTGTGGCCCCCACCCCTATGAGACTAAGTGACTTGGCTAGACAAACGTGCCCAACTTTTTGGGTGTCAAGGCTCCCGATGGAAGTCTGGAGAAACCTATGGACCCCTTCTCAGAATAATGCTTTTAAATTAATAAAATAAAATATATAGGATTAGAAAAGAAACCAGTTATATACAAATATATGCACCAAAACATTTTTTAATAAAATAAGTGCACGAACCCTAAATTAAGAACCTCTGTGCAGTTACCAGACTTTTATATGATTTAGAGTTTGCAAAGCAGCTTTTCATAGGTTTTTCCCAACTTTCCCCCACTAGAAACCTTGGACTTTGCTCATGGGACATCAGTCTCTGACAGATAAGCTTTTGACTTTTCCTGCTCAGAACTGGACCTCCACAACGCTTTCATCCATCCATCCCCATACCGTGCTGTTGTCACTCTACCTAATCATTCCTATCTCCCCTTTGTTCCCCTCCAATCTTAAATTCTACCCCTGGGATGCCTAGTTCTAATAGATGAGCTTTAGCTTTCTCTTGGGCAGCTAGGTGGCGAAGTGGATAGAGTGCCAGGCCTGAAGTGAAGAAGATTCAAGTTCCTGAATTCAAACCTGGCCTCAGACACTTAGTAGCTATGTGACCCCAGGCAAGTCATTTAACCCCGTTTGCTTCCGTTTCCTCATCTATAAAACGAGCTGAATAAGGAAATAGCAAACCATTCAGTATCTTTGCCAAGAAAAGCCCCAAATGGGGTAACGAAGAGTCACACACAACTGAACAACAAAAATTCCAAAACCAGGCTTTTCAACCATTTCCTGGCTGCCTCAACACCATGATGCCTCCTCCCTGCCGCACTTCCCTTTTGTGTATTGTCTTCCCTTATTAAATATAAGCTTATCAAGGGCAGAGAATGTCTTCCTTTTGTATCCTCAGCATCTAGCACAGTGCTTAGTAAATGCTTTCTCTTATTTAAGCCTTACAACAGCCCTATATGAGGTAGATTTTTATAGGAATTGTCCTCCTTTTGCAAGTGAGGAAACTGAGGTTGAGATGACTTTCCCAGGGTCCCACTGCTAGTAGGTCTTAGAAGTGGGTTGTGAACTTAGTTCTCTGTGATTTACCTAGTCCAGTGCTCCGTCCACTGCACACCCTGCCCCTGAAGCAGATTTGTTGAAAGAAGCTGTCTCTCCTTAGTTAAGATCTGTGAAGTGACTTCCTGAGATGATAGAGCTAGTAAGTGCCAGATCCAAGACTTGAATCGCAGTTTTCTAAGTCTTGATTCTAAATCTAGTACTCTTTGCATCCACTCACCAGATTTTCTCCCTCTCCTCCATCTCTGCACTTCCATTCTTCTTTCTAGTTATTTCAAGGTTCCATGATTTCATTTTCATGCCCATTCTACAAGAAAGTGGATTGAAACTCTTTAAACTTACTAAGAATTCTGGAAACCAAAAAAAAAACATTATCCTTAGGTCAGAGTGGTAATGAGCCTTTTTCAAAAAGTTAGCTAAGTTGTGAAATACTCCATCTCTCAACTCTGTACATTTCCACTGGCTGTCTCCCCCATTCCCCCACAGCCCCATGTCTGGTCTGGAATACTCTGCTTCTTCATCACCTCCTGGCTTCCCTGGCTTCCTGCAAGTCTCAGCTAAAATCCCATCTTCTACAAGAAGCCTTTCTTGATCCTCCTCAATCCTAAGTGCCTTCCCACCAAGATAAGATCTAATTTGTCCAGTACAAATCCTGTTTGTACATGGTTCTTTACATGTTGTTTCTCCCATTAGAATGTGAACTCCTGGGGCAGCTAGGTGATGCAGTGGACAGAGCACCGGCCCTGGATTCAGGAGGACCTGTAGTTCAAATCTGGCCTCAGACACATAACACTAGCTGTGTGTGACCCTGGGCAAGTCACTTAATCCCATTGCCCAGCCAAAAAAAAAAAAAGAATGTGAACTCCTTGGAGGAGGAACTGTTTTTACCTTTCTTTGTATCCCCAGCACTTGGCAGGGTGGCTGATAACTGGTACTTAATAAATGCTTGCTGACTACTTCTGGAAAGGAATGTGGAATTAGGGCATGTGGCACATGTGTGTGTCATGGACTAAGCATGAACTGCTATCCTTTACATCCACCAAACCCTACACATGTGAACTACTATACAGATACTTTTCCCTAATATTGTATTCGTAGCTGTTTTTGAATTTAAAAGTAGGACTTCACATTTATTCCCTATCTGGCCCAGTATTTCAGTCTATTAAGATTCTTTAGGATCCTGATTCCATCATCCAATGCAGCTCCCAGTTTTGTATCATCCACAAAAACAAACCTGAATAATTAGAAACTTTGTCTAATTACCAAACAGAACTCTCCATTAAATAGCATTGCCTCCAAGTCAATTTAAGAAATAAAAGTTTAAGAAACAAAAATACCACAAAACTGAAAAATACAATAATTGTGAGCTGGGCTTCTTTAAGGTGTCAAGAGGTCTTTATTGAGATTATAGCACAGTTACACTTCTAATACCCTTTTCCACTTTTATACAATAGTTAAAAATGTTTGCTACAGTGCACGGACAGTTTAGCAATTATCAGAACCAAAGCTCAACTGCATCTTAAATAAATAATAAACTATCATAATTTAAAGTAAAATAACTGTACAATATGAAAATATAACAATACATAACATTAAAATCTACAATTCTGTAGAAACAAAATTGTAATTCTGCATTACATAAACCTTGCAAAGAAAAAAAATCCAAATAAACTTTTGGACCAAAGTCAATATTTTCCATTTTTTTAATTATCATGCAGACATAGCATTTCAAGCCATGCTATAGTCCATTGTTAAGTTTTTAATGGTTTCATTTAAGAGGAGAAAAATGCTTGCCAGTAGATTGTACCATCAACTGCTGCATCAGATAAATGCTAATAATCTGCTTCTTCTACAGTACATTTTGGAGTGGAGGTATACTGTTGCGTTAAAAAAAAAATAAGAAATTAAATGTCTGAAGCAAACACATTTTACCTTTTAGTCTGAAACAGATTAGAAAATAAAATAACCATCATCTCCCTGGTTTAAAATAAAAGGCCTATACCTCATAATGAATCAAACCAAGAAGCAGTTGTATATTCATTTTTAGTCCCATAATGACACTTACATATTAAAAACAACCATGACATTTTTGAGAGGCATACAAAAAACTTACCCCTAAATAAGTGATGCATACAATGGAACTGTGAGAACAGCAAAAGTCATTTCTGTTTATGCTTAATCTGTCTGGAACTAATTTAATTACATATATCAATTTTATTAAAGTATAGCTCAATTTAAATTTATATAGAAAATTGTCATTTAGGCAAAGAACAAGGAATGCATTTAATACTAAATTGTAAACACATTATCAACCTTAACTTTGAGTGCACAGTGACAACTTACGGGCTTCTCCAACATACTTTGGCAACAAGACTACAACAGGTCACAGCAGCATGAATTCACATGGAAGACTGAAAGCACTGCAAAATAATACTAAACACCCATACCTCCTAAGCAATAAGATAAACTGTGATAAGTGCCTCCTCTTGCTAAATCCCTCTCCCAGCCAGATGTTAGTTGTTTGAACTCTCTTTTAAAAAAAAAATAAAATAAACCCACCAAAAAAACCCACAAAAAAACCAATTCAGTCATCTTAAATCTCTGTGCTTTATCTGCATAGGTTGCCTACAAGTGTCCTCTAACCACTGTAAGTCCAGAGAGTTACAGTTCTGTCAGCCGATGATGACAAAAAGGAAAGATCCCGTGTGTGCCACCTGCACTGAATCACTTTGTCCTTGTGCTCCCCTACCACCATAATTGGAAGCTGCTTGGTGAGGTCCCCTAAAAAAAAGATATTGATTGACAACTATTAAAATGAACTGAGTAAATTTTATAGGCTTCTGAATAAGATTTCCTTATTTATTGGTTCAAAGTCCACATAAGTGCAATGTTAACTTGCATTATATTTTAGTTCACTATAAAAATACATACCATGCTACATTACTATAATTAGATAACATTAACAGAGTTGAACTGCTAAACAGTTCAACATGATTGGATAATGTTTGCATAGATGAAACTGGGTTAAAGAAACTGTTCATTATAGATCTACCATAGAAAATTAATTTATTCAACATCATTTATTAAGTGCTTATCATGTGCAAAGTGCTGTGATAAGAGAAATAAATAAGAATGCAAAGGATGAATTAATATATTCTTTTCTAAATCTTCTAGCATTCTTCAGCTCATAATGAAATGATACAATGCAATGAATGCTATGCTAATAGCATAAATACAATGCTAATTCAGTTAGTTAACAAAACAAATAATTCTGTACTAAAAATTAGAGCAACCATTCCAATTATTAAAGGTTAGAATACTGTTTACTAGGCTATGTATTAAAACACCTCTGAGAATATGTTGATATTATAAAAGTAAAATTAAAAAATATTTTGGGAAAATGCAGATACTAGATTAACAAGGAGGAAATGGTGACAGAGAATCTAAAAATGGCAAGGGGAATATAAACAGAAATCTAGTTAGAAGTAGCCAAATAAATTACCTTGTAAGTCTGTCACTTTTATTTTCATATCATAAGATCCTGTAAGTAAATAGTGAGCCCCAGGAGAGAATCTAACAGAGCGCACATCACTGGAATGAGGATGATAACTTTGTACCATTCGTCCTCCTCTGATGTCATACAACATACAGCTAGAATCTTCCTGACCAGTAGCTAAGAGACGGCCACTGGGATCAACAGCTACTGATGCCACGGCACTGCCTAAACAAAGGAAGTGGTTTTTTTTTAAATTAAAGATGTATTCATTTTTAAAACCAACCCAAATTCATTGTAAAAATAATAAAAACTCACTTTTAAAGAGTAGTTTAAGATTTACAAAGCTCTTCCCTCACCACAATCCAGTGAAGTAAGTAAAAATAGTAATTATCACAGCTAGGTGGCACAGTGAATGCATAACGTGCCAAGCCTGGAGTCAGGAAGACTCATCTTCCTGAGTTCAAATCTTGCCTCAGATATTTACCAGCTGTGTGACCCTGAGCAAGTCTCTTAACCCTGTTTTGTTTGCCTCAGTTTCCTCATCTGTAAAATGAGCTGAGGAAGGAAAATGGCAAACCACTCCAGTATCTTTGCAAAGAAAACCCCCAATGTGGTCACAAAGAGTTGGACACGACTGAAATGACTGAATTATCACAACTGACATTTATAAAATAGGATTAAAAGATCATAGATTTTTGAACTGTTAAAAACCATAGACACTATCAAGTCTAATCCCTTATTTTACACATGAGGAAACTAAGGCAGAGAGAGGTTAAGTAACTTGCCCAGGGTTGTGCAGCTAGTAAGTGACTAAGGCAAAATTTAAATTCAAGTCTTCCTGATTCAAATCCAGTGCCCTCCCCACTCTCTTAACTTTGAGTGCACAAGTATGAAAAGTGCTTTTACAGATATTATCTAATTCAATGCTTACAACAAGAAAATAAGGTGAGCACTATTATCCCCATGTGCAGATGAGAAGACTGAGTCTCAAAGATATTAAGTGACTTGCTTAGCACAACTACTACATCAGCACAGGAGGGATGAGATGCTTTCAAGCATAAAATTCTGAAGCTACAATGGGCCAGAAAAGGGAAAGCTGTCTAAGAACACAAATGTAGATACACAGGAAACATTGATGAAGTTTTTTGAAAAAGACTTTTGGTAACATAAGATGCCTGTCCTTCAGCAACTATTTTTAAAAGGCACCAGAAGGAAAATAATCAAGAACTCTAAAGAGAAACAGCAATAAGGTCTTCCAACCAGTCCAGGCCTGCCCAGTCTGACAGATAGCTAGAAGCCAGTAGGTACCCTGAAGGATAATGCCAGGGTAGGCAGAAGCTAGAGTGAACTGTGGCAAAAATGGCCTGAAGCCTGCAGGTTCTCTCATGAGGGATGCTCCAGTGGGGTTGAAAGTCAGCACAACCTCTAATAATTGAGGTCTGAAGTGAGCTAGAAGCAAGATTTAGCTCCCGTAACTGGGATCTGAAACCAGCAGAATCTTGGACCCTGGCCTGTCAAAGCCATCCTCCAATATGACAATGCAAAGTGAAATGTGGCTGCCTCATACCACTTTGAGCCACAGCCTGAGATAGGGCAAGTTCAATAAGTAACCATGTAGGGACAGAGGCCTGGGACTAGCATAATCTCCAACATCCAAATGAAGTGTGTTAGGGCCCCAGCTAGAAATAAAACCAACCTCCCCAACTGGGGATTAACGCAAGTAAAAAGACACCCAAAAAAGGTCAAAGAGCCAGTAGGAGACTACAGCAGAAGCCAGGGATTTTGGCATAAGGCAGGGCCTAGTATCAGCCAACCCACTAAGAACTGCAGTCTACAAATGGACTAGGACCAAGCCAGGCCTATGCAATCCATCCAAGATTATAGAAGCAGGCAGAACCAGGTTCGAGTCCCAATCCAGAAACAGACTGGAGATATGACCAAATAGAAGAAAACACTGAACAAAATTAAGAAATGCTACAGGTTAAGAGAAGTCCAGGAGGTTAATGCAGAAGACAACACTGTAAGTATAAGTAAAGCCTCAAGGAAAAGAATGGCTTGGCCACAAGGACTCCAAGAGTAACTGGAAGAAATGAAGAAATAAAAGATAAAATTAGAGCTCTTGAGGAAAAATTGGAATGAGAAGGAACAGCTTAGAACAGAAGGTGGAAAACCTTACCCAGGGAGTGACCTTCTTGAAAAACAGAATGAAGCAAATTTAAAAAAAAAACCTAGACACCATATTTAAAGAAAACAGATCTATTATAAACAGAGGGCAAAGTGAAAAACAGAATTTATCTTCTGAAAGAAAACCCAAATTGAAAAGATCTAGGAAAGTCATAGCCCAAATCTAGAGTTCTCAGGCCAAAGTGTATAGGGGAGGGGGCTTGGGGGGGGGGGAGACAACAACATATGTACTAGAAAACAGTCAAAAATAAAGAGTTCAAGTACCAAGAAATCACAATCAAAAATCACACAAGACTATGCTGCAAATAAAATAAAAGAGAGATGACCTTGGAATATATGGCATTCCAAAGAATAAGACTTAACAGCTAAGAGTAACATCCTGCAAAACTGGATATAATTCTAGAGGGAGAAAAATAGATTTTTAATAGAATAGTGAACTTTTAAGTATCAATGATGAAAATGCTAGAGCTGAATAGAATCTTTGAAACACATACACGAGAGACAAAAAAAAAACCCTAGAGAGGTAAATACATTTGAGCAACTGGTAGGGGCTAAATAATATTGAAGTGGTTACATTTTATTGGGGGAAAAGGGACAAATATCCCTTGAGAATTCCACCTCCTTCAAAGATCACAAGGAACTCAAAGGCCTTGTGTTTTATTCTATTTTGCTGGTTTTAAAAGAGGAAAGAAAAGAAATACACTAGAAAAGAAATGGGGAACTTATTCTTTCTCATAACTGAAATGCTTGGTAAGAGAATACAAACCTTGGGAGGAGAGTAGGCAACTCATCAACCTCATGACCTGAACAAAGATGGGGTGAACACAAAGTCTGATACAGAAATGCATTAAATTCAACAAAGAAACAGGGAAAATATGAGGGGATGAGGGAAAGGGTAGAGTCAGGGAGGAAACAGTATTAAGCAAAACAAACTAACTTCAAAAGGATGATTAAAAGGAGAAAAAGAAAGTGTTAGGATTCAGTGAATAGGAGTGTGGGTTTGGCAAAGAGAACAAGGGCAAAGGAGTAGAGATAAACTACTTCCATTATAGATTATTAGTGTTGATCACATTCCTTTTCTTTCACCTTTCTCTTTTTAGCTGAGGCAGCTAGGTAGTAAAGTGTACAGAAAAGTGCTGGGCCTAGAGTCAGCAAGTCCCGAGTTCAAATCCAGCCTCAGACACTTACTAGCTATGTGACTCTGGACAAGTCACTTCACTTCTATTTGCCTCAATTTCCTCAACTACGGAAATAAGGATAATAACAGCCCCTACTTCTCAGGGTTGTTGTGAGGATTAAATGAGATATTTGTGAAGTGCTTAACATAATAAGGTATGGCACGTACTAGGTGCTATATATATGTGTGTATATGTGTGTGTGTGTGTGTGTGTGTGTGTGTGTGTGTGTGTGTGTGTGTGTGTATATATATGTATTCTCTCCTCTTACCCCGCCCCATGACCTTCTTCTTCTTTGTAAAAGAGTAAAGAGAAGAAGAAGTATAAGAGGATATGATGGAAAGAAAAAACAAATCAACAATTCTAACCATGAATGTGAATGGGAGAACTCACCCATAAAACAGAAATTAGTAAAATGGATTAGAAAGCAGAATCCAACAATATGTTATTTAGAACAAATATATTTGAAACTAAGATTCACACATGAATTAAAATGAGGGATTGGAGCAGAATTTATTATGTATCAGGTGAATTCAAAAAAGCAAGGGTGGTAATCATGGTCATAGGCAAACGAAGAGGAAGAGTTAAACAGGGAACCCACGCTGTGCTTAAAAGCACCATATGTAAAGAAATAAAATCAGTACTACACACAAATATGCGCTGAACAGCACAGCATCCAAGACTTAAAGGAAAAGCTAACTCAATACAGAGAGAAATAGAGAGCAAAATTGTAATAGTTGGAGTCCTCAATGTGCCTCTTTCAGACCTGAACAAATCAAACTAAAAGATAAAAAAGAAAGATAGTCAGGACCTGAATAGAATTTTAGAAAAATTAGATATGATGCATCTCTGGTGATTACTGAATGGGAACTAACCATGTACACAGGCATAAAAGAAGAATAAAAAATGCAGACAAATAAATAAATAAATGTTAGGTACATGTTTCACTGGATACAAAACAATAAAAATTATACCCAATAAAAGGCCATTGAAGAAAAGATTCAAATGAAGATTTGAAGATTAAATAATTTAATCCTAAAGAATTGGTGAGTCAAAGAACAAATCATAGAAACAAAAAATTTTATCCAAAAAAACGCCCAAAATGTGACAATAAACCAAAACTTTTGCAATTCAGCCAAAGCAGTCCTTAGGTCAAATTTATCTCTAAATATTCTCATCAACCAAAAAACAAACAAAAAAACCAAACAAATTATTAAGCACAAAACTAAAAATAACAATAAAAGCCAACTTCTTTTTCTTCAAGATGGTAAGATAAAGGAGTTTAAGGACTACTTCTCCACATTCTAGATTATCAAGGGCAATTATGTGTTACTCTTCTAATTCTGGAAGTCAGGCTTTAATGGGGGAGGGACTCTGAAGAGGCAGAAGGGAAACCTGACTTTTGTCAGAGGGTTGGAATGTAGAAGAATATCACATTGAGTCAGAAAAAAATAAGAAAAACTGTATAATTTTAAATTAAAAACCAACTGAAACCTCTTCTAGAAGAGAACAGTTAGTCAGTCGTCTTCCAAGGAATCATAAAGCAGAACTACCAAAGCTGTGTAGTAGTAGTACTGAGGCAACAATTTGATGATCTGATAACAACAAAGACATGTCTTTCTAAGACATGTCTAAGACGTAAGAGAGAACCTCCCAATATTTATGAAAAAAAGATGACAACTACCCAACTTCTGCAAAATGATACTACCAGAAAGAGTTTTTAAAGTATTGTCATTAAAAGATCATTAGTTACTTTGAAGAGGTCAGTTGAATGAGCTCTTAATTGCCAAATACGATGGCCTTTTCTTAATCCTCACCTTTTTTGACTACTCTCTGTTGACACTAATGACCACCCTTTCTTTCTGG